GGGGGGGGGTTGCTCTCTCACCTGGGGCTGCCCGCGGAGCTGGGCGTAGATGAGGCACCGCTGCCCAGGGAAGATCACCTCAGGGCCCCAGCCCAGCAGCGCCGCCTCCATCCCGGGGGGCAGATCCCAGCGCAGCGAGATCCCAGTCACGGCCGGCTGCAGGGCCCGATTCAGAGACTGCAGTGCCTGGGGGAGAGACCGGCACACACAGGGTGGGGCCAGGACACCAGGGTCCTATCCCCAGTCTGGAAGAGGAGTGGGAACTGGCGGGTTAGAGTAGGGGGGCTGGAAGCCCGGACTCCTGGGTTCTCTCACAGCTCTGGGAGGGGAGTGGGGTCTGCTGGGTTAGAGTGGGGGAGCCCGGACTCCTGGGTTCTCACCTTGGGCTGCATGCGGTCCTGGCCCATGATGAACTCGGTGCTGCCCCCTGCTGCCCGGGCGATGCCTTTGACCAGAGCCATGGAGGCCCCTTCCCCGATGCCAAAGGAGAAGCACCTGCAGGGGGGCAGAGACAGGAGGGAGAGGGGCAGAGCTGGGGGGCACAGCCAGTGCTGGGGTGGGGGCAGCGCAGTTGGAGAGGGGCCAGTAGGGCTGAGGGAAATGGGGTGGCAGGGCAGGAAAGCAGAGTTGGGGAGATGATAGGGGCAGAGGTCCCCATGGCAGAGAGGCTGGAGATCAGGGTTGGGGGTCAGGGCTGGGGGGGGGGCACTGGGGGGGCAGGTGCCCCGTTACCTGTGGGCCCCCCGGTGATGCTGCACCTCAGCGATGATGTCCTGGGTGTTCCTCACCTCCCCGTCCGTGAACACAAAGAGCTGGCGGGGGAGAGACGCTGTCAGAGCCGGGGACCCCAAATCTCCCCGGAGACCCTTCTCCCCCTGGCAATGGGGGAAGCCCCCAGAGAATCTTCCCCACTGACCCCCCTCCCGGAGAACCCCAGCCCCATAAACCCCCTCAGCCCCCTTCCCTCCCCTCCCAGACATCTCCCGGGGGGGGGGGCTGACAGACAGGGACCCCAACCTTCTCCCCGGTCTCTAACTGTGACCCACAACCCCCACCTGTCACCTTTTCACCAGCCCCTGGAGACACTAACCTGCCTGACAGCTGTGGGCACCTTTCTTGGACCCTCCTGCTGCCCCCACGTGCCCTCCCTGCCCCCCAGCTGCAGGACGCCCCCCCAGAGCTGAGCGCAGCACCCAGCGCTGCCCCCCCAGCTCTACACAGAAGTACCCTGCCCGTCTCCTGCCTGCCACGCCCTGCTCACACCCCCAGGGGCACCGGCCCCTGGTTGGCCCCAGTCCTACTCTGAGCCCCCTCAAAAGCCCCCATCAGCTGCCCCCCAGCTCCCAGCCCCTCTCCAAGCGCCCCCCTTGGCCCCCTGTCAGCTGCCCCCAAAGCCCCCTGCCCCTCTCTGAGGGTCTCCCCCCGGGAAGTTCAGGAACAGCCTCCTCAAGAGAGCTGAGGGGCAGAGAATCCTTCCCAGGGGCTGGCTGGGGGGGGGGGGGGTTCACCCCCACACTCGGGGCTCACTGACCCCCACATGTGGGGTGGGGAAGAGATTTTCCCCAGCGTCAGATTGGCAGAGACTCTGGGGGGTTCATCCCCCTCGGCAGCTGGGGCATTTGCTGGTTTGAACAGGAGTAACTAGGGGGACTCTGGGACCTGACGTCTGTAACTCAGGGTTTGGGGGCATCGGTGACTCAGCCCCAGGGGCTGGAGCTGTCACAGGGGGGTGGGGGGCTGGGGCCAGATGAGATGATCAGGATGGTTCTTTCTGGCCTGAAAGTCTCTGAGTTTCTCCTCCCCGGCCCCATTCCCTTCTGAAAGCCCCCCCCTCAACCTCCCTTGGCTCCCCCAGCCCCTCTCCGAGCCCCCAGGACGCCCTGCTGCTGCCCCCGGTACCTGGCGTGGGTGCCCATCCTGGCAGGGGCTGCGGTAAATGGCTTGTAGCGGTGCCAGGATCTCGGTGCCCCCCAGGTCAGCCTGGAGCTGCTGGACGCGCTGCAGGGACTCGGCCATGGTCTGCTGGGTGTATCCCACGCTCTGCCTGCAGAGGGCGCTGAGGGGTCAGGGGCCGGGACAGCTGGAGCCAGGGACACCCCAACCCCAGCCACCCCCACCGCCTGCCAGCCCTGCCCCCAGCCCAGGGACACCCCAATCCCAGCCAGCCCTGCCTCCCGCCAGCCCTGTCCCTGCCAGCCCTGCCCCCAGCCCACAGACACCCTGCCCCCAACCCCAACCAGCCCTGCCCCCTAACCCAACCAGCCCCGCCCCCTAACCCAACCAGCCCTCTCCCTGCCCTGCCCCTTTGACTCATGGGTAGAAGGACTCAAACCAAGACCCAAAGCCATAGATGTTGAAATAACAGCCCAGGGCAAACTCTTCAACAGCAGGACCAGGGTCTCCTGGGGATGGACAGAGATGGACGGAGTCACCGCCCAGGTCCAGCCAGCCTGAGCTGCCCCCTCCCTCCCCCAGCTCTGCCCCCTGGGCCCAGCCAGCCTGGGCTGCTCCCTCCCACCCCCGGCTCTGCCCCACGGGCCCAGCCAGCCTAGGCTGCTCTTCCCCCAGCTCAGGTCTTCCGGGCCCAGCCAGCCTGGGCTGCTCCCCTCGGCTCTGCCCCACCGGCCCAGCCAGCCTGGGCTGCTCCCCCCGGCTCTGTCCCACCGGCCCATCTAGCCTGGCCTCATGCCAGGGTTACTCCTGATGGAATTCTGCACCACTGCGCACGCGCAGAACTCATGTACATACATTTCTGCCTGAGAAGTGCTGCAGTTCCGCCTTTCACCCACCAGAGGCCGCCGTGGTGCCAGAGCAGCCAGCAGCATGAACTCAGCCAGCTGTTGTGGGCAAACAGCGTAACTGCAGCACTTCTGGGGCAGAATGTATTTTCTGTGGGGAAAAAAATTTCTATGCATGCCCAGTGCTGCAGAATTCCCCCAGGAGTAGAAGTTCATCACAGCACCCTGCTGGCAGAGCCAGGTTAGGACAGACAGAGGGGGGCATATGTGGCTGCTGGGGGGGACAGACTGGGGCAGAGGCTGAGGAGCTAGTGGGGTGACACCATTGAGCCAGGAACTGAATGGGAGTGGAGGTGCAAGGCCACATGGGAAAGGGGGTAGGGGAGATGCAGGAACACATGGGGATGGGTGTGGGGAGGGGGACAGGGGCAGATGTGGCTGACTGAATGGGAGAGGCTTGGGGCCAGCCAGGATCTGCATGGGGGAGGCTCCCCAACTCCCCAACAATCTGCCACTCCCCCCAAAAAACCTGTTACATACTTCTCCCATCCACACCCAACAACCCTCCCAGTTCACTCCAGGCTCCTTCCCTCTCCCTCAACTCCTCCATTACTCCTGACTCCCCCAAGCCTTTGCACTGCTTCTGAGGGGGGCGGGAAATACGGTTCTGTATTGTAGTTAAATGAATTACTCAAAGTTCTGTGTTAATATGCCTAGTAAGGAATAAAATCTTTTTGTTGTCTGTGTTGTTACACACGTACTTGCTGACAGATATTTTGAAATAAATTACCAAAATAATTGAAACTGTCATAATTATATTGTGTTATTTTGACAAAAAAAATGCAGATTGTTGCAGAATTTTAAAACGTGTGCACAATTTTTAATTTTTTGGTGCGGAATTCCCCCAGGAGTACTGGCCGTAACTTGGCGCTGTCGATGCGCTGGTCCGAGTAGTCTAGGCCGTCCATGGGGCACGCCATGCTGCCGGAGCGGTCCAGCAGAAAGATGAACTCCCCGGCCGAGCTCTGGCCTGGCAATGCCTTGGGCAGGCTGGGCAGCAGGGTCACCATCACGGCCGGGTCGCCCATCAGGGAGCCTGTGGGGAGATGGGGCCAGCCCCAAATGGGGCCGGCATGGGGTCGAGCCCTGTGAGAGCCCTCAGCGTTCCCTGACTGCCCCAGAGCCCCACCCACACTCCTCTGTCTCTCCTCCTACAGCTCTTTCCCTAGATCCCCCACCGCCCCCAATCTCCAGCCCCCAGTGCCTGCCCTTCCATCCCATGTTCTTCCCCATGCCCCCCCAAATCTGCAGGGCACCCCACTGCCTGGCTCCTCCCAGGCACCCCACCCTCCTACCCCCAGCCCTACCAAGAGCCCCTGCTCTGGACCCCCACGCCCCAGTGCCCACCCCCTGATCCTGTCCCCAATCCCCTTCACACACCCTATCCCCCGCTCCTTCAACGCCCACACCTAATCCCCACCCCACAGCCCTCCCCACCCAGGGGAAGCAGGGAGCAGGACACCCCCCCCTCACCTGGCTCCACTTCGGGCAGCCCGGCCTCCAGCACCGCGCTGGGTTTGTGCGGCTCCGCGTAATGCACCACGTCTCGGTCCCACGGGGGGGCCTGGGCCAGCGACACCTGGGGGTGACAGACACACAGTCCCCTCCCTTCAGCTCCTGGGGGGCAGGGTCCCGCTGGCTCTCGCGCCCAGCTCAGTGCTCCTCCATGGAGCCGGAGGGGAGGGGGCGACCCGGGAATGTGGTCTGCACCACCCCCTGGGAACTTGGGCTGGGCCCCCCGGGTTAGGTGGGAGGGAGAGAGGGAAAAACACCCGGGGAAAACACTGCAAATTTCTGAATTTTGGGGGGGGCTAAATCTTTCCAATTTGAGGGTGAAATTTCCCCCCCCATTTTATTGCACTGAAAATGAAGGAGAGGGAAATTCCCAGATAATGAAGGGAACCACGGTGCATCAAACGCCTGGGATTTCACCCCCATGGGCTGGTCTCAGCCCCTCAAGATTTTCCCCAGAGAACTTGTGGAATTCCCCGGATCCGTTTGTGTAGCTCGTCCCTCCCTCCGCCCTGGGCCTTCTGGGACCCACCCCCTGCCTCATCCCAGAGCTCCCACCCCTGTATATGCCCCCATAGGACCCATGCCCACATAGTCCCCTGGGACCTGCCCCCCCAGCCTCGCCCCAAATCCCCCACAGCCCTGTCCCCCACCCCTCAGCCCAGAGCCCCCCATCACTCCTTCACTCAGAGCTGCCCCCCACTGCCCCTCCCAGTGGCAATGGCCAGGACCCAGGCATCTGGGCGAGCCCTTACCTGGGCGGTGGTCTGGTTCCCAGCCCGGTAGCTCAGGGGGGTGAGGGAGCAGTTGGAGAGCACACGGTCGATGCCGTGGGGCGACTGCAGTGTGGCGCTCAGGGTGTAGGGCAGCTCCCCCTGGGGGGACCCGTGGGACCCCCTGGGTGACGTCCTCCCTGTCCCACCCTGCAGAGAGACACGGGGTGAGGGCCGGGGGCTGGGAGAGTGGGGGGAGGATGGGGAGCATGGGATATTGGTGGGCATGGGGGGACGTGGGATATTGGGGGAGGGCCCAGGGGGGTTACATACCCTGGGGTAGGGATTGCAGGGCTGGGGGGGCATTAACTGTGGGGCACATAGCAGTGACCTATGGGGTGTTAAGGGGCTATGAGGGTCCATGTGGGTCTTTCCCTGGGGGGTATGTAGCAGGGGCTATGGTATCTCATGGGGTTTCAGGCTGTGGGGTCACTCACCATGGGGTGCATAGTGGGGGTTCAGGGGGTCATGGGTCTCACCATGTAGGGTAAAGCAAGGTTGGGGGGGGGCTACGGGGCTCATCGTGGGCATGTAGTTGTGGGTGTGGGGAGTTATCCAGGGCTCTGCGTTTCACTGGGGGGTGCATAGCAGGGTTGGGGGGGCTAGGTGTACAGGGAGCTACATTCGCCAGCGGGGGAGCTGTAAAGAAGAGATTTACAATTCACCCAAAGGACAGTTGGCAGCTCACGTATGCCCTGGAGCTGCCCAGCCACATCACCCAGCCAGGACTTTTCCAATAAGAAGGGTCAGGATATAAAAAGGGGGAAAACTGGCCCCTGGGCATCTCTCCCCGCCCCTCCTTCCTGCTGGCAACGGGAACACTTAGCAGACTTTGAACTGGGGAGCTTGGGTCCAGGCTGGGAAGGAAGTCCAGCCTGTGCACTCAGAACTGGGAACTGCCTGCAGCATCCTGTAGGGCAGGGGTTCTCAAACTGGGGGTCGGGACCCCTCAGGGGGTCGCGAGTTTATTACATGGGGGGGCGTGAGCTGTCAGCCTCCACCCCAAACCCCGCTTTGCCTCCAGCATTTATAATGGTGTTAAATATATAAAAAAGTGTTTTTAATTTATAAGGGGGGGTCGCACTCAGAGGCTTGCTATGTGAAAGGGGTCACCAGTACAAACGTTTGAGAACCACTACTGTAGGACGAGAAAAGCTGCCTGCTTCAAACCTTCCTTAGCCTGGTAACGGTTCAGGACGCTGAGTGCGCGTTTACCTTTTATTTCTGATGTAACCAGTTCCGACCTTCGTGCCCCATAACTTGGGATCACTTACAACCTTCCTTCTCTAGCTACTAAACTCGCTTTAGTGTTTGATCTAAACCAGCGTGTTGGATTGGAGTGTTTGGGGAATGTGTCTGAGCCCAGCAGGGCTGGTGCAGGATCGTTACCCTGGGATGGCCTGACGAACTAATCAATGAACTCGAGCTGCACAGTGACCGGACGTCTCTGGGGTGCTGTCATAACTATAAAGGGAAGGGTAACAGCTCTCCTGTGTACAGTACTATAAAATCCCTCCTGGCCAGAGACTCCAAAATCCTTTTACCTGTAAAGGGTTAAGAAGCTCAGGTAACCTGGCTGACACCTGACCCAAAGGACCAATAAGGGGACAAGATACTTTCAAATCTTGGGGGGGGGGGGAAGGCTTTTGTTTGTGCTCTTTGTTTTGGGGGTTGTTCGCTCTTGGGACTAAGAGGGACCAGACATCAATCCAGGCTCTCCACATCTTTCTGAACAAGTCTCTCATATTTCAAACTTGTAAGTAAACAGCCAGGCAAGGCGTGTTAGTTTACCTTTGTTTTCTCAACTTGTAAATGTACCTTTTACTAGGGTGTTTACCTCTGTTTGCTGTAACTTTGAACCTAAGGCTAGAGGGGGGTCCTCTGGGCTCTTTAAGTTTGATTACCCTGTAAAGTTATTTTCCATCCTGATTTTACAGAGATGATTTTTACCTTTTTCTTTAATTAAAAGCCTTCTTTTTAAGAACCTGATTGATTTTCCTTGTTTTTAGATCCAAGGGGGTTGGATCTTGATCCACCAGGAGTTGGTGGAAGGGAGGAGGGGGGATGGTTAATTTCTCCTTGTTTTAAGATCCAAGGGGTTTGGATCTGTATTCACCAGGGAATTGGTGAAGAGTCTCTCAAGGCTACCCACGGAAGGGAATTAGCATCGAGAGTGGTGGCAGCGGACCAGATCTAAGCTGGTAGTTAAGCTTAGAAGTTTTCATGCAAGCCCCCACATCTGTACCCTAAAGTTCAGAGTGGGGAAGCAGCCTTGGCAGGTGCAAGGCTGGGGCTGGAGAATTTGCAGATGTTGCCGTGTGTGTGGTTCCGGCGTGGCTGGGACAGCTTCATGCATCTCAGCTGTGTGTGTGTTTGCACACTGGTGGCTGTGTGTGAGCAGAGCCTGGAGGGGCCTGGCGTTCACACAGCAAAGCCGTGTAAAAGACTCCCTGGGCTGGAGGATTAAGGGGGAACAGCGATTGAGCAATCCAGGAATATCACAGTGGCACAGTGAGAGCAGGGTTATATGCACAGCTTGTTGCTCTGAGTGAAGTTTGCACTTTGAGCACGCGTGTGATGATTTTAAGTGGGCTCAAGTGTGAGGAACAGGTTCCAGTTTTGTTATTTTCTCTTCGCTTATTTCAAGAAAGGGAAATAGACACAGAAAGGTAGAAAAATGAGCGAGCATGATGCAGTTGCAAGGTTAGTGCTGTGCAAACTGCGGGTAGCAGGAAAGGAGAAAGAATACACCTTTACCCCGATATAACGCTGTCCTCGGGAGCCAAAAAATCTTACCGCGTTATAGGTGAAACTGCGTTATATCGAACTTGCTTTGATCTGCTGGAGCATGCAGCCCCGCCCCCCCCCCCGAGCGCTGCTTTACCGCGTTATATCCGAATTCGTCTTATATCGGGTCGCGTTATATCGGGGTAGAGGTGTACCAGCGAACCTTGGAACTGAAGGTCGAGGCTCACCAGCCTGTGTTGAAGGAGAAAGAAATAACTGCGGCCACGGAAATAGCAGCACATCAGCGCGTTTTGGAGCTGAGAGGCAAAGAGGCCGAGGAGAAAGAGCGAAAACGCCAGCTGGAAACGTTAGACAAACAGAAGGAAATCCCAGCATCACCAGCACCTCCCTTTAACGCCAAACGTTTCGGACTGGGACCAGCTGTGGGCCTGTATACATAGAAACAGACTGTATGGAGGAATATTTCACCACTGCTGAAAAGCTGGGTGATGCCCATGGGATTCCAGAGGGCAAGTGAATGCTCACACGGAGTGCAGAACTGCCTGGTAAAGCTCGGGATGTACCCAATGCAATGCCATTTCTGGATGCTTGGGCATAGTCTACGTTTATGGACACTGTTTTGAAAGAGTTTCAATTTACTCCTGAGGTATGTAGGACAAAATGTAGAGGTCTTCAAAGGAATGCTGGTGTGAGTCATTGGGAGTATGTTTACAGGGTGAATGACCTGAGAAGGAAATGGGTGAAAATGGTGCAGATTTCGGACAATTGCTAGATCTGATTGGCCAAGAATGTTTCTGGGATCTCTGGGAGAATGATGCGAAGCAGTGTCTGTGGGAGGAGTCTGTGACAGAAATGGCCACTTTGGATGACATCTTTGAGCAAGTTCAGATGTCTAACAAGTCATAGAAACTTGGGCTTAAACCTGGGGCAAAGGGGGGATCCTGTTCTCTCTCGGGGAAAAAAGAGGGTGACTGGGGGCTGGGCACGCACCTCCCCCGAAACCATTCTTCTAATCTCCACCCCAAACCTCCTGTAAAAACAGAGGAGCACCTGCCACTGTAATTCCACTGGCCACCTGAGAAACCATTGCTCTGCGCGGAGGGACAGCAAGCCATGGGCAGCCCATGTTCGTACCGCTGTGCTCAGCACAGAAACCTCTGAGGCACCTGAAGCGAACCACATTGGTTTTGTGGGATTTGGCTCTGCAGAAACAGTCAGGTGATGTATTAAGACTTAGAATTAGTAACAGGGAATACCTGGGATGGGAAGATACAGGTGCACAGATTACTGTGGATAAACAGAGAGTCATGCAAGAAGGTGACATGTTGCCAGGTCAAATGGCAGAGCTTTTACCAGCAGGAGGAGCCAAGACGCCTGGGCCTTTAGCCAAGGTGCACACAGAATCTGATGGCTCAGCAAGTGAATTGAAGGTGGGAACTGTCGACATGCTTGTGGGGAATGATGTTTTCTGCACAGCTGAGGTTGTTAGTGTGGCAAGCTGCCGTCACAGGAAGGAATCCTGCGCCGGAACCCCAGGGGGAAATGGGAAAGCCCCAGAGACTGCTGACGGAAACAGAGAAAGGCTCTCTGCTCTGCAGGGGGGGAGCAGCGCGCTTCCAGACATGGGAGGGGTTGAGACCAGCTTCTGTACCACAGCAGAAGGCAACATTCCCTCTGATCCCAGGGAGCGGGAGCGAGTGCCTATAACAGAGGACACTGTTCCAGGTGGTGACTGGCAGAGATTTGTAGCTGAACAAACCATAAATCTCGCTCTAGAGGGCACCAGGGAAGGGATCTTAGAGGGGGTCCCAGGAAAGGAAAACGGAGAGAGGATTTTTGTAGAAAACGGGCAGGCCCTGTAAGGAGCTGGTTGTGCCTGGCCAGCCTCGTGGGGAAGTAGCGTTGTTAGCACATGACTGTCCTCACCCTGGTTGCTTGGGGGGGAAATGCAGCCTCAGCTCCTGTCCACTCCAGCAGCGGAGTCAGAGGGTGGACCATGCAGCTGAGGAAAGCGGTCTCACAGCCAGCTCCTTGGGGACATGGGGAGGGGGGTGACAGACAGGCTTCCACTCCAGCCCCTAGAGTAGATGTCCGGTTGTATTCTCCAGGCGACCAGTCTGGACATACTTCTGGAAAGTGATGGTCTCTCTAAGACAGGATGTAAACTCGGCTTGGGGAAAAGGGGTCAGTGAAGATGCAACAACCTGGCTGACGGGGCGGGGGTGGTTTCCCTCCCGACGGGCAGCACCAAGGAAGCAGCTGAGAGAATACTGCTAGTTACAGAAAAGCGGGCTGGGGAAGGCGAGGGGAACACGGTAACCCCAAGGCAGAGGGTGCATCGCCATGGCGTTGGGACACAGCTCCAGAGGGGGCCTGCCCATGTGGGGGAGCCCCCTGCAGCGCTGCTTCACCAGCCCCAGAGACAGGGCTGGATTAAGAGCAGATACCGAAGGGAACCCTAAGGTGAAGAAAGAGCCAGTAACTAATTGAAGGCAAAGCTTTGGTTAAAGAGTTAAATGACACAATGGGTCTGACCCAAACCCACCTCGGGGACAGACTACATCAACAAAAGGCGCGATGTGACAGCGATATGTGCAAACGCCCTTTTACAAGGAGAAACTTGGTGTTAATGTTTAACCCTGTTAAAGCTACAATAGGCACAATGCTTGAAAATGATGGACGTGGCAAACAAGAACACAGATTATTTCAAGAAGCCTCAGGGTAATGCTGTTTCACAGATAATGCATGCAAGCAGACTTAAAACCCATCACGGTGGAGAAGCCATGGCAAATATGATCTGCTGTGTAGAAAGGGAAACTGAGGCACACCACCTCATTGATTGGATGGCTAAATGCCAAGGTAATACTTTCCAGAATGTAAGTAATAGCCACCTGCAGATAACACCAGTTGAACCGACAGAAGTGATATCAGTGCTGCAAGAACAGAAAACGGTGTTTTCCAACAAGCCAGGAAAGACACGCGCTAACTCATGAGATTGCTAGACTGGTCCCCAAAGTGTTAAATGAGATAACCACGTATGCTTGTGCAAAGTTGTGTAAGATCAGAAAAACACTTGGGAATTATGCTGTCAAAACTCAAACGGGCCTTAACGCACCCTGCCTTGGGGTGACTGACACGCCGACAGTGTTTTGAAGAGGGAAGCCATGACAGTCTACACTAGAACAGTCCCCATTTTTACAAGATGACAATAAATCTGGAACAAAGTCTGCCTTGTGAGGTATCACTTGAAAAATCACGGTCTGCTGAATATTACTGTCCTGTTAAAAGGTGCGTATATGGCGTTATGAGATTCTGTTCTATGTTTGTAACTGCACCATGCTGTAAATCTGAGAAATGTCCACAGACAAGCACCTCAGAGGCTGGGTGACCAACACCCAGCCAGGTGCTATGCAACCATCCCCGGCCATTTGCCAGTGGGGAGCTGTAAACGAGAGATTTACAATTCACCCAAAGGACAATTGCTCCTTCACGTATGCCCTGGAGCTGCCCAGCCACATCACCCAACCAGGACTTTCCCAGTAAGAAGCGTCAGGATATAAAAAGGGGGAAAACCGGCACCTGGGCACCTCTTCCCCCCCCCCCCCTTCCTTCTTTCCTGAAAGCTTGACAGACTGAACTGGGGAGATCGGTCCCAGGCTGGGAAGGAATTGCAGCCTGTGCACTCAGAACTGGCAACTGCCTGCAGCATCCTGTAGGGTGAGAAAAGCTGCCTGCTTCAAACCTTCCCTTAGCCTGGTAACGGTTCAGGACGCAGAGTGCACATTTACCTTTTATTTCTGATGTAACCAGTTCCGACCTTCGTGCCCCATAACTTGGGATCACTTACAACCTTCCTTCTCTAGCTACTAAACTCGCTTTAGTGTTCGATCTAAACCAGTGGGTTGGACTGGAGTGTTTGGGGAATGTGTCTGAGCCCAGCAGGGCTGGTGCAGGATCCTTACCCTGGGATGGCCTGACGAACTAATCAATGAGCTCGTGCTGCACAGTGACCGGACTGGACAGCACAACATGCACGTCTCTGGGGTGTGAGGCTGGGGCTGGAGAATTTGCAGATGTTGCCATGTGTGTGGTTCCGGTGTGGCTGGGAGAGCTTCATGCATCTCAGCTGGGTGGTGTTTGCACACTGGTGGCTGTGTGTGAGCAGAGCCTGGAGGGGCCTGGCGTTCACACAGCAAAGCCGTGTAAAAGACTCCCTGGGCTGGAGGATTAAGGAGGGGAACAGCAATTCAGCAATGCAGATTGTACCCTGGGGGTGCAGCAGGATCTGTGAAGTGGCCATGGGTCTAACTATGTGGCGCATGGGGGGCACAGGGGTATCTGTGGGGCTCACCATGGGGCGTGTAGCGGGGGCGCAGCACGGCCGGCAGCACGTAGCGGGCGGCCCCGTCGGGCTCCAGAGACAGCTCACAGACGTAGCGCAGGGTCAGCGCCGCCTCCTCCCCGGGGGGCAGGTTACCCAGGGAGCAGCTGAAAACATCACCCCTGGCCCCTTCCTGCTGCAGCAAGAACGAGCTCTGCCCTCCGGCCAGCGCGTCCCCGTACAGCTCCTGCACCTGCCGGAGAGACAGGGTCATCCTGAGATCCCACTGTCCCCAACAGCTTCCTACCCCCTGGCCAGTATGTCCCGTACAGCTCCCATGCATGCCGGGGAGACTCATGTCTGGAGGGCTGACGGCACCTCTACAGGACCCGACAGTGCACACGTGTCCTCCCCCCTCCCCACTTCCTTTTATCCACACCTGCCACTTGGAGCATGCCGAGGCAGGGGCGGGGCCTCTGTGGTTAACCCCAGCTTGGCCAGTGTGGGGTGGACACCCCCCCTCCCAAGGGAGTGTATGGGGCTGGATGGACGGACAGACGGAAGGAAGAAGGGTGGGTGGGAAGAACGGGGGGGGGGGGGGCTGAGGATGGACAGAAGGGGGTGTCGGACAGGCATGGGGGTGAGGACAGATGGATGGAAGGAGGGGGAGTCAGAGCAGGGGGTGAGGATGGACAGCCAGTCAGATGGACGGGCGGGGGGCGGTTGGGCAGGCATGAGCGGGGGCTGAGGCTGGTGGGATCCGGAGGCAGCTCTGAACCAACAATGTGCTGAATTTCCTGCTCTGGTTCCAATCCAAACTCCCACCCCTCCCCCATTCTGGGCCCCGCTCCCAGTGCCACGCTGGGGGGTTAGTCGGGGGAAGGGAGCCAGGACTCTGGATTCTATCCCCAGCCCCTGGGGGCCCCCTGAAGCAGTGCCAGGCTGTGGGGAACCTGGATGGGTCACTGGGGAGGGTTCACCCAGCTGGGCTGTCACCCTGCAGAGAACAGAGGAGGTTTGCAGAGCGGCCGTTCCGGGCGGAGGGGGGGTGGGCGCTGCTATTTATTTTCACTGGGGGTTGGAATGGCCACCATGAACCCCCCTGCCACAGGCTGTAAAGTCCAGTCCTGGCCACAGCTGGGGGCTCCTGCCTGTCCCGGAGCCGGCCGGCCTGGGCCTGGCAGGAGTGAAAGACCGGCAGCAGGCTGGGTTCTCCAGCAGCAGGAACCCGGCTCTGAATGCGCGGGGAGTCTCTGTGGAGGAGCAGGGATCTGAGGGTGCCGGGGGTGAGGAACGCCAGAGCTGCATGACCAAGAGCGGCTTCAGACCCCGCTCTCGGGGCCGGGTTTCATCTCGCTCCCGCTCGGCCAGGTGAAGAATTCCCAGCTCCGCGGTTGGACGGGAATGTTGGGATCACCCAGGTAACCCACACGCCTGGCAAGGCCCGGAATGAACTCCTAGGGAAACTGAGGCACAACCCCCCATCCTGCTTCAAACGCTGGCTGCCATGGAGGATCAACCCCACCCCCGGGTGAGCTGTGCCAACAGCTAGTTACCCACCCCCAGAAACATGCGCCTTCCTTTCAGTGCGACCTCATCTGCCTGCCACCCCCAGTCCTGAGCCGGTGCCAGAGCAGGGCCTGCGATGCTGCTGTGCCCCCACAGAGCAGGTATTCATGGCTGGGGGCCAGGCACCTCTTTGCCTGCTCTGGGGTAAGCGCCATAGGCCGGGAAATGGCGGAGGCCCCGGGAAAGGCTCTGGCAGGGAAGGGAGGCTGGTTGTTTGTCCCTGGGATTTAACTCTGACACCTAGTTCCCAGGCCAGAGAAAGGGAGTCGGTGTGAAAGCTACAGCAATTCACCGACTGCGGCTCTCGCTGCTGCAGCTGCTTCTGGCAGAGCGCCTGAGGCTGAGTCACTGGCCGGGGGGTGAGGTCAGAGCAGGGAACAGGCCCCCAGCAGCCCCCAGAGCCCGTGGGAAGCAGGACAGACCCGGCCGGGCGCCACGGGGATGGGCACCGGGAGATCCATGCAGGGAGAAGTACGGAAAGGAACAGAAAGGGGCGGGGGAACTGGGGGTTGGATAGGGCAGAGCCACAAAGGTTTAGGGGTCACCTCCCTCCAACCCCCCCAACCCTGCCCTGGCACGCAGGGCCCCCACATCCAGGGAGGGGAGACTCTGCAGGGGCGAAGCCCTGAGTCAGGGGGATAAGCCCAGACCTGGGGGTGAGGGCAGGACCCAGAGAGGACAGAGGGACCCTGGACCCAGGGGGGCAGAACTAGGGGGGCTGATGGACCTCACCTCAGGGAAGAGATGCAGAGGCTGGAAAATCGAAAGTACTTTCCCCCGCTAGCCCCGCCCCACCCCACCCAGCGAAGGAGTGTCTGCAAACTCCCTGCTCCCAGCTACTCTAAGTCAGGGACTGTCTGCAAAGTCCCTGTCCCCCCCACTGGGAGCCAGGGACCGTCTGCAACCCCTTCCCTCCACACAGCCGGCCATGTGCTAGGGTGCATCTGCAAACTGCCCCCCCTGTGAACTGGGGCTGTCTCCTGCCTGTCCCTTTGCTGCCCTCCGGGGCCATTTCACTGGCAGGCCGCTGTCTGCTCGAGCCACGCTGCCTTCCCCAAGGAGGGTCTGACCTGCCAGACACGCACATCCCCTTGTGCACCCTGGGGGACCCCTAAACCCAGCCCTGGGTGGGCAGCAAATGCAGCTGGAACATCCCCCCAAAACTCTGTTTGACTATGCTAAAAATCAGTGTCAGTCCCCAGGCTGCCCTGGCCTCATGGCCTCGGGGCTGTCATTTGTCAGACAGACATTGAACCAAACCCCTGGGGATAAAAGAGGTTTTTATTTTATTTGCTATTTCTGCCACTTTTCATTTCAGCATTGTTGGCACCCGCTCCCTTCCCTCCCCCCTTCCTGCCCTCCCCCTCACCCCCCAGTGAGACTCCCCACCCCACTGGGACTCAGGAAGCAGCTCCCGCCTCTCAGGGCAATGGGCTCAGGCTCTCTGCAGACTCCGGCCGCGTTAGTCACACTCTGGGCAACTCCCCGCTCTCACAGCTCAGCTGGCCGGGAGCAGCAGGGGCCTGTGGAAAGCCTAGGAGCTGGGAGCAGACAGGGGCTGCAGGGACGTGGTCTGCAGTCCCCCCTGGGGCCAAGGGAGGCGTGTTTGGGGCTATGGAGTGGAGTCTGCGGTTACTCACTGGGAGGAGGGAGTCCGGGCTGGCAAACCGGGGGGAGCCGGAAAGGCTCAGGGGAAAGCAGCAAGGTGCAGGACAGCACAGACCTGGGCTGCTGAGTGGAGGGCCCTGAGCTGGGACCCAGAGCAGAGGGCAGCCCGGTTCCCCTGCCATTCCCTGGGCAGGGTGACATGGAGTTGGGGGAGACAAGGCCCTGCATCCCTGGCTTCCACGACTCTCAGCCAGCCAGTAAAACAGAAGGTTTATTTAGACGACAGGGACACTGTCCAAGACAGGTCTTGCAGGTACAGACAACAGGACCCCCTCAGTTAAGTCCATCTTGGGGGGGGCCCAGGAAGGCCAGAGCCCCGTCTGGGCTCCCCTCCATTTTCCCAGCCAGTTCCAAACTGAAAACTCTCCAGCCCCTCCTCTCCCTTTGTCTCTTTCCCAGGCCAGGAGGTCACCTGATCTCTTTGTTCTCCAACACCTTCAGTTGGCACCTTTGCAGAGGAGGGGCTCAGGCCATCAGTTGCCAGGAGACAGGGTGTCGGCCATTCTCTGTGCAGACAGGATCACACTGCCCCCCTAGGGCTCTGCAACAATCACACACCCCTAGACACTTGAGAAATGCATAGGGGAAACTGAGGCACCCACACAGCACTCAGAGAAAACATAAAGAACATTCCCACTTTGTCCCACAGGGGCACAGAGCAGGCAGCGGGGAGCGGATTGCCTGGGACAGTTTGCCCCGAAAGCCTTTGATACCCCGGAAGGGGAGGACACTAGGACCTGGCTGGAGGGCCGAGTCACCCAGAGGCAGCTGCAGCTCCTAGGGGGAGGGGCTGCGGAGTGAGAGGGGACGGTGGGAAGTGAGACCCCTGAGGAGGGTGCAGCACCTGGAATGAGCGATGCCCAGAGCGGCCAGGAGGCGGCGCCCTAGCGGCAGGTGGTGATGTGGCTGTACAGCGTGGCCCCCAAAAGCAATGCAGGGTGCCAGTCTGCAGTGAACTCGATGCACAATCCCGTGTCCTGCAGGAGGCTGGACGGGACGGACAGTTCTGGCCCTAGAGCCTACGGAGCCGTGAATCTGGGACATGGGACAGGCTCTGTCCTGGCCCCCAGAGGAGGTCACACCCTCCTTCCCGCCCTGTCTCTCCCGGAGCCCCAGTGGGGTTGCCAGACTGGGGAGAGGAAACGCCCCAATGCTGGGCACAGAGCAGAGAGCTCCTTGGATCTGCCCTGGGGGAGCAGGGCCCATGAGCAGAGGAGGCCCAGTGCCCCACGTGAGCCCAAATGAGCTAATCAACAGGGGCAGGGCTACACCTGTGGCTGGGCAAGGATGCCATGGAGGAGGAGGGTGGGTCCTGGGGGTCGCCCTGGGGCCGGTGCGTCGGAAGGGAGCAGAGCTGGCTGGGTCTGGGAGGCTGCCAGAAGCAGGGTCACCAGGGACCCCTGGGAGGTGGCCCTGAAACCTGCAGCCCAGGAGTGAGCTAAAGGCTGGTTCTGAAGGTTCCATTTGCTGGCGTTTGGCCAATACACCTCATTAGAGGGACTGGGGAGGGCGTGTGCCAGGGAGCTGGGGAGAGGCCCTGCCTGGGACGATGCCCCACTGTGGGGGAGAGCAGAGACGGCTGCCAGACAAAGCCGGGTCCCACATCCCCTGTCAAAGCTGGCCGATGGGAACTGTGCTAAGGCCAGTCGCCTCTGGGATTTAGACACCTCGCTGCTCAGGCACCGAAGCCGGAACACCGTCCTGGAGTTCAGCGCCATGCCGGGAAAGCCAGGGGAGGAGGGGGTAGATCCGTATGATTCCTCGCCCACCTGGCTGTGGGAGGGGCAGGTCGATCCCCCTCCGCCTGCCAGGGAGACGGGATTTGAACCTGGGCTCCCCCTGCAGGAGAGCGCGCTGACCGCACTGCGAGTGTCGCCCCTGGAGCTGCAGTGAGGAGCGGGTAAGG